GGCGTCGCGAGACGAACTCTTGGAGAATATCTCACGTACCGAACACACAGTAAACCGTGATCTCTCTCTTTTTCTTTCCCCCCCTCCCCCCTCGCTCCTGGCACCGCTCGCTCACTGCTCTTCACGTCGTTTCCGTGTCGACCGCAACCGCGTAACCCGCACGCCGTGCACTCGACTTCGCTTCGCTGTGTACGAGGGGGGTGGAGGGTGGTAGTAACGTGCGTCAGCGACGTGCAGCGTTACCGGAAGAAGGAACCGTGTCTCACGCGTGTGATCGGAGCGCGGTGCCACTATCGCGTGCGATACGCCGCTCGATCTGTCACCGACGCCGACGTTGATCCACTGAAACGTTATTGCGAACATACGCGGACTGCGCGACGTCGAGCACTGTGCGAACGGAGACGCCTCCGACACGCCGCCGCCATTTTGCTACGTCAAAGGGGTGACAGCGCCGGCGCTGATAAAGCCGGTCAAAACCGAACGACGTCGGAGCCAGCCGACGTACGCTCGGTGGCGAGACTACCGTGAACCTCGCCACCACCTCGCCACCCTCTCTCGAGGGGTGCAAGCACCGGTCTCCCCCTGGTCCTACCTTCTTCTCCACCACCAGCGGCCGAGCAAGCTGCCTTTTTCGACGATGCGTTTGCTCGCTCCAGGGGTGCAACGTCTTGAGAAATCGTTGCGGACTCGGCTCGCTCCGAACGCGATTATTCAGAGTTCAAAAGGTTGGAAACCCGCGCTCGTGCCCCCGATTTACAATGGCATGTTGAATGGACGTTACTTTTACATGTCGAGAATCTTTCGAGTAAATATTTAGAATATCCATGCAGAATTCACTTTTCGAGATTTTCCACGAAATTACGTTACATAATTTCGCGTAGAACGCATTCAGCATGGCATGCTTTTGATAACGTAAAAAGACTAAACTCACCTCTTGGAAGTTGGGTCGATCCCGCACCCGTGGAAGCTAAGTGATCCTAATTAGCGATGCCGTCGAGTTTCGCTCGAATTTCCGGAGCGAATGCACGTCGCGAAACTCGTTTTCGCACAACTGTAATACAGAGAGAGACAGAGAGAGAGAGAGAGAGAGAGAGAGAGAGAGAGAGAGAGAGAGAACAGATTAGTCTCACTGTAAGATGCCTAATTCCGATAACAGCTGCCTACACCGCCATCCGTGATTACTTTACGAGGCGATGGCGATCTCTCTAGTTACTTCGAATAAACGTTATCCCACCGCCATCACGAAAGGCTATAAAAAGAAGACCGAAATCGTTGCATGTTGCTAGCACGATTGAATTTATGCGGTTGTACGAACAAAAAAATTGCTGATCCATATTCCCAATAATACGTGCCTGAAATAATTTTATTCCACAAATAATACGCGCGCGATGGCCAGAACAAGTAATACTATGTTATATACCACCCGCAGGCTTTTTCAAAATTAGCTAAAATTCATGAATATCCCGAGCGTCAGTATTTCAGATGGAAAATTGGTTCATTAGGATGCCTGTGTAAACTGTTTTCTCGTTAGCGTGAGAAAGGGTCGTAAATGCGGGGTTGAACGAGCTGTGGCACACGCAATGTCTGGTATTCGGAGTCTCTGCAAATATCGCTGTGGAACAACGTTTTACCACTACCGCCGATCGCAACGTCGCGATAAGAAATTTTGCACATTGTCATAAAGATACTCGATCTTTAATTAATTTCTACAATCTACTCCCATTCAAGCCCGATGAACGGATTTGTAAAGCGACATTAATACGGGACACGAGCGGCGCGCCGTGAGCAAGTATAGTTATGCCGTTACGGCGTGTCGCCTCAATAAGTAGTAAATCCCACTGCGCGACCTGCGAATAGCCAGTCGCGCTACTGACTTGTACTACTGAAGAAACGAACTGCGCTCTCGCTCCATAATTTTCACAAACACCGGAAAATCATGCAAAATAAGGTATAATAGAATGAGAAGAAAAAGAAGCCATATGAAACAAGTTGAAAATTAAGTAGAAAAATAATTACTATTTACTTAATATAACGTATAAATATTAGTGACGAAACATTCCACTTAATTTAATCATATTCAATCGAGTATTTAGAAAATTTAGCTAATCTAATATAAATAAATTAATGAATTAATTGATAAATTAAATAAAACATTAAAAGTGAAACGTTGGAACGGTTGGAATGTTTGTCTTTGTTTTTATTTTTGTAATTCGTTTCAACATTTCACTTTTAATGTTTTAGTTTATTGATTTGTTTACCTGTATTAAATTATCATTCGCTTGAGAATGACTAAATTAAGTTATAAAATATTCTATCACTGATATTTATTACATTAAATAGATGATTAATTAGTTTTGTATATAATTTTAAACTCATTTTATATATTTTTTTTCCTTTTCACTCCATTGTATTACATAGTAAAACGAGGACAACTTATTATTAATTTATTTAAAACAAACATGTTTGTTTAAAAATTCAAGAATTAAACAAACAATCAATACATTCAGGCAGAAAATAACTAAAATTATATAGAAAATTAAAGAAAAAAAGAAATATATCCGAAGTAAATTTTACTCAAATTTAAAATAGAAAATATGTACCTAATCTTTTTAAAAATACTATCAGCGCGCGCTATTACAGTTATCTTTTTCTTATAAATATTTTATAACTTACAACATTTTTTCTTGAAATATTTATGAAATAAATATTTGAAAGTCACCAAAAAATTAAAAAATAGCCAGTTTAACTATTTTGTTGATTATTTTCTTATGAGAAATTATTTTTTATATTTTATGCACAAGAAAAATTAATTTGACATGTAGACTACTCGCTATTTGGGTTTGTAACACGATTAAACAATAATTAAATTTACACGTGCTGATGATCAGGTTCTAAATACGAAGGAAAGTTCCTGATATCGACTCGTATTTAGGATCCAACAGCTTCGTCAATGACGTCGATTCGATGTAGAGCAATTTCATTAGGCCTGGTTATAAATAGTCTTTCATGCTTCATAGTTATCAATAAGAAATGCATCGTACACGGCAGCAACGACGTTCTTTTCGAACATCAAGGCGCATGTCGCCCTGTCATACATTGATGTAAGCTTTTTATTCCACGGTCCATGCAAACGATGGCTGTTGTATCGGAAATAATAAGACCTGCTGTTTACGAAAAGAGAGAACGTTCTGAAAATACTAAAACATTATCGTAGAGAGCCTCGATGCGTTTTATCGACTCGCGTATCGTGTCTATGCTCACGTACAGATAATAATGTCTTTATCAATAACGATTACCACACGGGGCCAGATTATAGCCCTCGTATAACTTTGACGTATTGTAAACTAACACTGTTACTTTTCTTTTTCTACGTCATGCACGGGTGGTGCTTCGAAGCTTAAGTACTCGCTGCTTGAAAATTTCATTTCGCAATTATTCGTATGTAATTCAAAGCGAAGTTGAATAGAGAGCCTGTTATATAGCAACAATTCCAACTTGGTGTATTCGCGGTCGTTGTAATCGGCGTAGCGTAAGAATCGTATGCGATAAACGGCATCACGTGTGAAACGCGAGGGCTTTTTATAGAAAGGAAAAAAAATGATAGAACCGCGTGCAGCATCCGCCGTGGAAAAGGTTTAGCTCGAGAATTGCGAGGCTTCAGTATTGCTGACTCCATTCGCGATCGTGAAAGGAAATGACGACAGGAAAAAAAAAAAACAAGGAGACGGAAAGGAAGCAGAGGGAACCGATTCTGCAGTGTATAAAAGTAAATGTGCGGCGCGTGAATATGGATCGTAATATTCGTGATACGCGTGCACGACTGGTTGCAACTCGACGCGTTTATACGAACATTTATCGGACTGTTGTAAATGGCATTTACTAGTCCGTGTTACGGATATTATCGAAGCTGCCTACATCGCGAAATCGATACAATTATTTGCGATAATGCAATCCGATTTATGTTACAAGATGGCGCTTCAATCATCAAATTCACGATTAATTGAAACTATTGAAACATCCTATAAAAACGCACGCGAGATAATAATCGAATAATCTTTCTAGAAATACGCGTGATCACGTCAAACTATTTTTAACACGCAAATTCCGCTATCGTTCACACGTTAATCGAATGCGTTAAATGTTGAAAGCCCGAAACGTTGGAATTCACGCACGAGAGAACAATCTATATTTCTTTTAGAGCGTTTTTTGTTGAAACAAATATAGATTTGTACAGCATGGAAAAATATGAGATACGTATATTTATTTTTCATAAAATGCTGGCAGGGATTTGAAGGTGTGAAACACCCCCTCAAATTTTGACGGCCGAAATCATTTTTCCGCAATAAATGTCAAAGTGTTGTAGAAAAAGCGAATTTCAAACTTTGACGGGATGTTTCAACTCTTTAAACTTTGACATTTACAACATAGTAAAATTACATCTCATAATTTTCTATTTAAAAATAATTTATGATTCTTTATGTTTAACAAGTCACAATAAAAAAGGGCTAATAGAAATCGATGCTATTATCAGGGCGCAAAGTATTATTGCAAAAACTTATATTTAACCGATGTTTAAAATGTTCAACATTTGATTATGTAATAAAAACTAACAATCTAGGAATTTGCGTCGCGGTTTTGACAAAAAAAATGCATGTCACTTCTATATACGTCACTTCGTCGGATTCGATAGGATCGATGAAAGACCCCGTTAGAAGTGCAACGAAAAATATCTGCAAA